AAATAGCTTTTTAAATTCTCAGAATAAAATGTGAGATTATTAAAAAAATTCAAATATTAAATTTTTATAAAGATTTTTAATGAATAAAAATATCCAACTAATAATACTCATGTTTTGACTTGTAATAAATTCATATATATATCTTTTTGATGTAGGTTTATCTTTGTTTTAAGTAAAAAAATAAAATAAAATAAAAATAAAAATCTATGCATGTCATTTAGAAGATTCTTAAACCATAAAAGATTTAAATTTTAAATCTAATAGTGATTTTTTTTAATATTAAATATTTCTTTTGTCATGCCAATAGCTTTTTTGAATTTTAGCAAAACTCCTGTCATAATCCTTTCTTAAAAATTGAAAACTATTTTCTTATATATATGTATTGTGGCCTTTGGCATATGACATGTAATTTTTATAAAAGACTAGAATAGGAAAAAAGTTCAAATCTTAATTTAAGTAGTATTTATAAATCTAATGATTTATATTACATACCATATTATATTTATTTTTGATAAAATTAAAAATATTTGTATCACCATATATATTTTTATTTTTTTATTTTATAAAATAATTTAAAAAAATAATAAAATTTTTAATTCTCATCTTAATTGCATTGAAGATAAGAAGATTAAAATAACTTGAAAATATAAAAAATTACTTTGTTAGTAGAAATAACAATATTGTTATAAAACCATTTCATCTTTTATAATTCTACATGCCTATTGATCTTGCATTTAACATTATTTAGTATACTCTATAATTATCATTTTTAAAATTATTTTGAAAGAACACATTTAATTCTCTATTTGAATGAAACAATGACATATTAAGGTTTGATATTAACATTACTAATAAATACTTCTTAAGTTTATAAATAATAATGTGTACTTGGAGATGTCATTTTTTTATCTATTAAATGAATTCATTTGAAGCCAAATTTCTAATTAGATCTAATTAGAAATTATATAGATTTTGATACATTTAAAATTTATTTGATTTTGCCAATATTAATAAAAAGAGCATATAGTATAAAAAAATTATCTTATGTTGAGATAAAAAATAAAATAAAATAAAATAAAAACTTAAGTTAAAAAGATATAGATCTAAAAAATAATAATATAGATTTCTATTATTTTTGGATCTTCAAATGACATCCAAGATTGCTTCTAATAATTACATGATTTCAATAATCCATAACCATTTTCACCACATCCATCTTCAATTAAGGATTATTTTATAAATAATGCACACAAATCTATGGTCTAATTACAAAGATTCTATGAATTTGCAATTATCACTTTTATAATACAAAGCATAACATGAATAGTAACATCTATCAAATAACAAGAAATTAAGCGTTATTTTAAACCTTTGCATTATATTTCTATATATATATTATTATATATAATATTAATTGTATTATTCGGTTTTAATTAATTCAATAAAAACACATTTAGACTCATTATTATGAATATAAATATGTTAAATTTTTTAAAATATTTTTTTAAAGATAAAATTTATATTTAATAGAATTGAATTGGTAATTAATTATAAGTATAAAAAAGGGAAAATATCATTTCTACCCTGGAAATATGTTGAAATATCAAGAATACCCTTAGATTCTTGATAATAACAAATCTACCTCACTTTTTTCATAAGATCAAAACTACCCCTCATCTTGATAAGCTATCACAATTGTTTCATTTTTTAAGTGACAATAGACCCAACCTTCGTCACAGGGAGAAATCGGCGGGCCGTCGTTCGCATTGTTTGGCACAGTACGCTTCTGCTCGGCCATTTTTGGCAAATGAATGAATTCATGAACAATTGATATCCAATGGTTTTCTAAAATACAACGGCCTTCTCACATTTTCTAACATCAAGTCGATGCTGCTCGACTTGATGCAGCTCAGATTAATCTCGTAGCCTCCATTGCCCATGGAATTTTGTATGCTTCTTACACCATGATATTGGCATACCTGCTGCGAAGCTGTGTGTGCGTTAGAGGTCAGCTGAGAGGTCCCATTCGGAGATAAACAGTTTTGTGGGCTTTGCAGTGCCATCCACCAGTGAAGGGAATGAGTAGATTTTCTCTTCACAAATCGGTGGACATTACACCGATGCTAACACCCACCACATTGAAGCAGCAGGGAAGGAAACTCATCGCGAACTCAACAGGTTATATTTTTAACTTTTGTGACTAAACTTGGTCCTTTCGGTAATACAGCATGACAATGAACACTGATTAACTCACTCATTGCACCACAATGTGGTGTACAAAAAGTTGATCTAAGGTTTCTAAGAACTTTCAATTAAACCAAAGTTGCTTAATTGATGTTTCTGCTTAATTTCCAGAATTTGAACATTCATGTGACACTTTTGGTCTTTAAAATCAGTGTTGCTGACTAGGGGATTTGGACTTTAAGATCTTCGTTTTGCTTCAATAATTGCTTCAATGAGCCAGTTAGAGATATTGGTTGTTGCTGCTATGTGATCTTGGGTTAGACTCTATATTCTTTTGCAAGACCTTTTACAAGGAGTGGGCTGTTGACATATAACTTGCATTACACGGTTTTTTAGTTGCATTACACGGTTTTTTAGTTGCATTATGTTTTGGTTGTCTGAACCATCGAAAGCTCCACCAGATGAAGACTATTTATACGGTAATGATTCTGTATGGAGCTTAATGTGTTACAAACTCTTGTTACAGTAGTCATGGTCTGTGCTTCTTAGAAATCTCAAGTTATTATGTCAATTTTAATTGATGCTATATTAAATTTCATTCTAACTTGATTTCTTTTGTTGTGCGTTAGCAGTAGTTTTTTAACTTTTTCTGATCATCGGCACTTGATTGGATGCTTATGTCAACAAAGTGCTAATTTCCCTAATATTGCATGTGCATGAAATTGCCCTATCGACTTCTCCGTGCAGAATTACACCACCGTGACTACGGTTTGCGTCAGGACTGATGGATATCTATCAGTCCTGACGCAATGCTGCGACGCATCCTCAACTTTTGCATTCCCATACAAAAATATTAATTTAAAAACAGTAGTTACAAAATGCATCATACCACCGATTTGTTTTTTAAGAAGAATTTGAATACACAACATTTTAGTCACATATCACACAACAAAACACACTTCAAAAGTTCATACTTAGCAATACAGGTTTCCTCTAACAAATTCCAGTGCACGAATGCTCAAATACTCACAATCAACACTTGCTAATACACAATAATAGTGATGTTAGATGGTAGTGGCATTCACAAATATCCATGTCCACAGCTACTTAACCAGTGTTGGTTTGCAAGCTCTGGTGGTTGTGTCTACTGGTGAGAAAGTTACGTTCCTTGTTTGTCAACTGCAAGCACAACACGACGATGTCGAAGACATAGATGTTATGGATTTTGAACAGCATTTGGGTGTATTTTGGCACGTTGCAGTGCACATGCGAAGATAGTAGAAATAGTGGTGAGAAGAGAGATGGAGAAGAGAATCAACCGAAAAAAAACATCCGATCATTGGTCGCAAAATGAGCGAACATTTGAGGAACTTAGCTTCTCAGATAGACCAAGTCTTTTTAACAGCCCCTTCAATTGTTCGAAGAATTTTTTTCGAGTTTTGAACGAAGTGTAGCCAAGTTTTCCTGGACTTCACAACGAGGTCACTGTGTTTGGAATGTAAAAAAACAAGTCCTGTTAAGAGAATATCAATTGAAGACTTTGAAAATATAACCTGTTGAGTTCGCGATGAGTTTCCTTCCCTGCTGCTTCAATGTGGTGGGTGTTAGCATCGGGGTAATGTCTACTGATTTGTGAAAAGAAAATCTACTCATTCCCTTTACTCGTGGATGGCACTGCAAGGCCCACAAAACTGTCCATCTCTTGATGAGACCTCTCAGCTGAACTCTAACTCACCCACAGCTTCGCAGCAGGTATGACAATATCATGGTGAATGAATCATACAAAATTCCATGGGCAATGGAGGCTGCGAGATTAATCTGAGCTGAGCTGCATCAAGTCGAGCAGCATCGACTTGATGTTACAAAATGTGAAGGCCGTTCTGTTTCAGAAAACCAGTGGTTATCAATTGTTCTTGAATTCATTCATTTGCCAAAAATGGCCGAGTAGTAGCGTACTGTGCCAAACAATGCGGCCGAGGGCACAAGTCACGAAGGTTGGGTCGATTTTCACTTGAAAAAAAGAACAATTGTGATAGTTTATCAAGTTGAGGGGTAGATTTGCTATTATCAAGAATACAAGGGTATTTTTGATATTTCAACATATTTTAGGGGTAGAACTGATATTTTTCATATAAAAAATATTTTTTTAATACTTATTAGCGATAATCTAAATGAACCTATTGAAACCACATTCCAAAATAATTTTATAATTATTCAAAAAAATGAGTTACTTTGCAGTATATCAATTTTTTTTTAATAAAAACTTATCAGTCAATGTTATTCATTGAAACATAATATAATATTTTCAAATGATAAATATGTTTAATTATCATTGAAAAAATCTGAAATTTTGATTGAAAACTGAAGAATATTAATAGTAGGATACCATCTAGATACAAAGAGTAGTAAATCATGAACCATTTATAATATTTAATGTTAATTTAAAAAAAGCCTTAAAAAAAAATTTATGCTCTTCTTAACAAACAAGCATTGTAACAAACATTGAACAAGTTCCGAACATTTACTCCAATACATATTGTAGAAGTTGTAAATGTCAATTCACATGACTTTTCTAGTCATACTATATATTCATTTCTATTAAATATAAAGTAATCCTTTGGCGTTTAGTTATGAGGTGAAAGAGGTGAAAGTAGCTCTGGTTGAAGAAAGGCATAACCAAATGTAAGTGAATGATTGACAATACAATGGCCTATTTATTAGCTTCTTTTAGTTCAGGCTCTTAGAGTAAGACTTAAAGTTAACTGTGGTTTATCTCATTTGACAAGATTCAAATTCCTAGACTTACATTCCAGAGGAATTGTGAAATACAAATAATATATTAGATATAATTTCTCATCAAAACATTGTTGCTGGAATCACTCACTGCGGGTAAAACTAGATTTGTAAACCCCCACTTGCTTGGTCCACATATGACTGCAAATTTCACTACTCCTTCCGTTTCCTGAGCTCGTTCCGATTACGATGTACCCCACTCTCAACTCGCATCTCGAATCGTTGATCAGTCGCGGGGTTAAAGGAGGATGTAAAATGTGCCCACGTGCGCACTCAATCACAGCCAGATATATGTAAAGATAAACAGATACATATATATGCATATATTTATATACACACACACACACACAAACTCTTCGATTACAAGTTCTCGTTTGCTTCAAACTTCTTATCGACGGCCACGGATTTACTTAGACCTGCATGCATGCATACTAGGGCAGCCAGTGCGACGACATGCAGGTTCAGGCAAGAAACAGCCGCTTTGGACCGAAATCGCGAACTTTCTTCCCGAAAAACACCTGCAAAATGCTATACAGGATGTCCTTCACGTTGTCGTTCATCAAGGCAATCTCCTGCGAAATGTCAGCAACGTCACCTAGGATGCGCTCTCTGAGCGGGAACGGCCCTAAACGCACCGAATTCACATAATTGCATGGACTGTGCGCGGAGACCCCGGGAAACACCAATCCCAGCATGCGGAACAGCAGACTCATCATCGACTCCGCGTACTGCTTGCCGTACTGGAGAGTGATCAAGAACAAGCCTTGGACAATCTCCCACACTGCGTTCAGGTGCATGGTGATCATCCTGGCGATGCCGAAGAAGTTCCGGTTGGGTACTTCCTCAACAGTGATTCCGTCGTACACGCTGTTGAAATAGTTACAGTCGCCGATGTGCTTGTAAGCCATGACGATGTCGTCGAACGGGACTCGAGGAACCACATCGTTGCAGTAGACGACGCGGAAGAATTTGCCCTTGAGCTTGGAGTTCGCGTAGTTGACGAAGTCCTGGTCGCCGACACGAGGCTGGCCGAAGGTGTAGACGGCTCCGATCTTGGAGGCAATCTCGGTCTGGCCGGTGTAGTGGAGCATCGTGGCGTAGAGGGCGGCGAGTGCGCCTCCCAGAGAGTGTCCCGTGATGAAGAGCTTGGCCCTGGGATTTTCCTTGAGGATAAGCCCCACCCGTTTCGTAATGGCGTCGTACGCGAGCTCCTTGGCAGGATCGTCAATGATGCCTTGGGCGAGGCCGGAGGTTGGGGGGGCTTTTTCGATTTCCTCTTTGGATCGGCGATGCGGGGTGACGGGGGTACGGGTAGCAGTTGCCTCGGCTTGTTCTTGCGCTTTGGTCGCTTCGCTTGATGCAATTGCATTCGTGTTCAGCCTCTCAATCGTATCGCGATGTTTGCGACTGGCGAGCCCTACCGCTTCGAGGAACCCCAGGTGGACGCCGCCCAGGCGATCCAGTTTCACCCAAGTGAAGTCCAGATCGGTGCTCCAGTCGTACGCATTGAATGCTTCCGTACCGCGGAAGGCCACCACGACGGCGTTCGCGTCTTTGGGCTTGTCGGTGAAGATGAATGCCTGCGTATTGTCCATCTGCTGGTGCTCTGCAAGCAAAACCACACGACATGGCATCAATCAGACGTCAGTCGTATCCACTGAGAACGTTCGGGTCGAACCTGGAGCACAAGCAAGATTGTGCTCACCGTTCCAGCATTCGTAAAACTTGACGAAATTCATCTTCCAGATGTCTTTTACCACTCGCTTGACAACAGCTGGATTCTCGTATGCCAGCTTTGCCGCCATGACGCATACATCCGCGGTGGATCGCGAGCCAACGTTCTCATCTGGGAAAACTACTCCGTCTGCTCGAGTGCTGGAAGCCTTGCCCGGTCTCGACGTGTCCACGTACAAGTCGCAACGGGGATCCAGCGCCCCCACGCAGCTCAAGAAGTTGTCCGCGGTCGGATCGGGTAATATGATGCGACCTGCAAGTCATCACAAATAATCTTTATGTTACCCAACTGACGGTTCGACTTGCAACCAAGTCACAAAGCCGCACCTCCATGAAAAACACGGGAGGTGTTGATCATCGACGCGTTCAGAAGTGTACTGACCCCATTGGAAGGTGAACAGTTTGAAGAGCAGACGGAAGAGCCCGCCGTTGAGGAGAAAGAAGTTGATGGTCCATTCGACGATGGAACCCAGCCAATTGAGGGGCCTGTAGCAGGACTGCAGGGCTTGCACCACGATCCAGGAGGTGATCTGCTGCCATGAGAAAGTCGGGCAAACCTCGACGATGGGTGGCATCTTGATGCGCAGTCTTAGCCTTAGAATCTCCGCCTGTGCGTCAATATGTTTTCTACAAGAGGGCCGAACTACGATTCATATACGTGTTTCTGCTGTAAAAGCGAACTTCTATATACTTCTGCAGTGTTTGCGTATTGCTCGGCAGTGCGACTGTAAGCCCCTCCAGCAGTTTCTATATGCTTCTGCAGTGCATGTATAGTGCTCTGCTTTGTAGCGCTGTGGCCTATTGGCGTCGGTCGGTGTGACGTAGATGCTAAACTTGGACCATGTGGGAAACTTTACGGCGTTGTTTTAATCACATGCACAACCTTTGGAGCCGAGGGGTCCCTGGGGTGGAAGTGATTCCTCGTTCAGAAACATGTCATGGCTGCATGTCACTGGTTTCTCAAAGCGTGTCTGCTTAAAAATTGAAAGAAATCGTATGACAAGTTTCAATAGCAACAAGGCATATCTGCAAGAATAAAAAGATCTAATGGACGTCTAAAAAACTTGTTTTAAGTTTTTTAAAGGAAGACATTATGTACCTAACATGTCCTACCTACTTCTACTTGCTTCTATTTATTTGGATAATATATGTATATATCATATTTCTCTTGCTAACTTTCATATTTACATTGGTCAAAATTCCATCTAAATTAAGCACCAAAGTTAGAAGGTATTTAAATTAGAAAAGATTTGATTCAATAAACAAACATTTTTTAATATAAAATCTAAACATATTTTTGTAAGGTCTTTAATTACTTATATGGTGGCATACTAAACAACCTTATTTTTAATTTTTTTTTCTATAATTTTAACCAAAATTTTTTTAATATTTAAATCATAATGTAAAATGCCCATGTCATACAAATGATACATCTCTTTTTCAATTTTATGCTTAAAATAAATTTAAAAATATAAGATATCTATTTTCTTCTTATAATAGATTAATCAAACTTTTTGTATTGATTCTATTCTCATGTACATATAATCTTTTTTAAAAATTTATAATAAAAGATTTAATATTATTATAGAATTTTTTTTTATTATAAGATAATATTTATTAAGTTGGAATGGCTTAGACTCAACTTAATTTGATCTAAATTTTAAATCTTAAATGTTAAATTTAAAATTTCAAAATCCTAAACTTTTAAGTTTTAAAATTTTAAAATAATTTTTTAAAATTTAATTAATTTTATAATTAATTTATTTAAAATAATTTTATATGACTTTAAATATTTTTTATATATAAAAAAAATTTATTTAAATTTAAATTAAATTCATATTATATCTTTTAATTATATAAGTTATTTTATAGATTAATCTAGCTATTTCTAAATTAATATTTTTTAATTAAGTATTTATATAAAAAATTATTTATATTTTAATATTGATATTTTTATACTTAAATAATATAGATGTAAATATTTAATTATTAAAATTTATTTAAAAAATTAACTTGTTTAATTTTTTACTTAATAATTTACTTTAATTATTTGATTATTTGATTATTTAACTTTATTTAGATAGTTTTTTATTTTTATCTATTGATATAAAAAATTAAAATTAAAAAATATTTTACTAAAATAAATAAAAATAAATGGCTTAATTATTTGAATTAAAATTTAACAATATTTTATTATGATGAATATGTTTTTATCATAATTGTAATCTTTACCAAATTAGATTCAATTAAAAGATGAAATTAAAGTTAAAAATAAGAACATTACACTAAAAATTATTCTTTTAAAGTTTAATGGTTTAAATTGTTAAAGAATTAGACCACTCTTTACTTGGATTGATTTAAAAATTATATTCTAAATCCAAATTGTAATGATCATTGAATTTTTTTAAATTAAATTTTAATAAAAATTTACTTGTATACTTTTAAGTTATAACACACAAAATTTAGAGACAAAAAAAAAAAAAAAAAAAAAAAAAAAAAAAAAAAAAACATTATTAGCTATAAAGTAATTAATAGAAAAATTAGATGAAAAGAAATAATTGAACTTAATATAATAATTACAATAATCTAACCAATGTAGCTTTAGAATTACAAAATATTATATCAATTTATTTATTAAGCATAAAATAATTTATGTTTTAAAATTTAAATAATCAAGTTTATTAAAATAATAGAAAAATTTGTTAAGGACATAAATCTCAAAGAAAGAAAATTCAATATACTTTTGTGCATCTTGAAAAGATTAGAAAGTCACTCAAGGGTATTAATATATTAAACTAGAATGGCTATTCTCAAAGATAAAAAGATTATAAAGTCTTGAAACAAGACTAAGGACTAAAAAGATATTGACAAGAATGAAGAAGACTTCACTCTTGCCTCCCTATATACTATCTAATTAAGAGCTATGTGCCAATGTTCTTTAGGACCTCCAACACTTGTTAACTTTGCAAGATATATATCTTAACTTGCAAGGCAAGTTTTTTATATATGTGCCACATAGTTAGCTTGTTCTACAAGCTATTAATATGTATGATTCATGGTTAACTTGTTGACTAAGTTATGCATAGACTTCAATAGATATAATCAATAAGCAACAAGATTGACTTAGTCACAAATAAGAAATGGTCTAAGCCTATGGTAATCCAACTTATCGCAAGGGCGGTTAGTCTTAATATTGTAATGAAGTAACCATATCTTGTCACCAATGTGGAATTAAAATTACTTCTTGTGATAGGCATCTACATTGATATTTTTTCGTTCTCAAGCTTCTTTTAAATGCACCTTTAATATTGCATGTAGCTCAAATAAATAATTTGCCAAATCTTCTATTGTAGGATTATCAATCTTTAAAAAATAAAAAGTATCAAGTCATAGATGATAACCAAAATTAACAAATCAAGGTATTTTTTGCTTAAAACAATGAATTATATTATTATAATAAAAAATTACCAATGATAAAAGAGTTATCCAATCATCTTATTAGTAGTTGATGGTTCATTTTAAATACTGCTCTAAAACTTAGTTTATGCATTCTAACTATTCATTATTTTGAAGATGAAAAGCTAAAAAAAACTTTATATCCACCTTTAGAATCTTAAAAAGGATTTTCCAAAATCTTGATAGAAATTGAGTACTTCTATTCAATATAATATCCTTAGACAATCTATAATAATAATAGATGTTAAAAAAAAGCTTCGCTATTTCTTTACCAATGATAGATTTTGTATATAGTACAAAATATGTCATCTTCGTAAAATGATTTATTATCACAAATATAGAATCATATAAATCTAAAAATAGAAGTTTCATTGTCATATTATATAAAGACTTGCTTGAAAAGGCATCGGAGTTTTGTTGTAGAAGATAAAAGAAATTTGTAATAATAAGTCTTAATAATTCTAATAAAATAATTTATGAATTATAATTAAAAATTATAAATTATAAATTATAATAAAATATTAATTAAACCTAATTAAATTTTAAAATAAATTATAAAAGAAATATAAAGAAATTTTATAGAACTTCTAAAAAAATTATAAAGAAATAATAAAGAAATCTTAAAAAAACTAAAAAAACTAAAAAAAAATAAAAATAATAAAAATAATAAAAATAATAATATTTAAAGAAATCCTAAATAAACCTAAAAAGAATCTATAAGAACCTTAAAAAAATCCTCATGAAATCCCAAAAAAATCTTAAAATTCTTTTACAAAAAAAATTTAAAAATAATCCTTGAAAAAATCTAAAAGATAATTTAAAGAAATCTATAAGAATCTATTGCTTAAACTATCGATTTTGCTTAAAATTTTACAAACTTTTAATTTTTTATTTAATAATAAGTACAATAAATGTTTTAAAAAATTAAACTTATGAAATGAGAGAAAAATGTCATAATCCACTTGAGTATATGTGGGCCTCCATCTTTGAGTTTAATATTAATATTCGAGCAATAATTACTCCTAATTAAATTATAAACTTGGTATCAAATTTTACATAAGTGTTAGAAATCAAATCATTTATTAGATCCAATAAAAATAACCTCAATCTAACTAAAAAATTATTGCAAATCTTAGATAATCTTATTAGACCTAAAAATTCAATTTTCAAGATCCTAATCCACTTGAACTTCAATAATCTCCAATTCAACCATTTGATTAAGCTCAAATTCACAACATATGTTCAATACAACTATATTCATAATTCTACAAAATTTAATTTATAAATCTACTATAAAACTCATAAAATTACCTAATTTATAAATCCTATTTTATTTTATAAAATTCAAAATCATCCAAAGTAACCATAATATTAAAAAGCTCTTATAAATTCATTAAAAACTCAAATTTCTCAAAATTAATGCTCTAAAAAATTCTATAAAGTCTTCTTCAAAATTATACTCTCTGATATGCAAAAGAAATTTGGATTTGCCATAGGTGTGTGATTTTGTAGCTTGGGATTTAATTTTAATCTAATTTGATAACTAATCTTCTTTAGATATTAATTTTTAATAATTTGAGATAAGTTTTGCTTTAATCTATCGTTAACTTTCTTTAAAACATATCTATATCAATTTTTTATCTCATTTACTTTGATTTAGCTCATTATTGCCTCTACAAAGTAAATAAAAGTTCTTTCTATAAAAAAAATATTAAAAAAAAAATTATTACCTTTCTATAATTTATCATTTTTTTTCATTTATATCTTTTTACTAGGTTCTTTTATAAAAACATCTATTTTTTTTTATTTTCACTATATAATCATGTTACTATATGATATCGTGATAAAATTTATAGAAACAAAAGACCATCATTATTTTGAAATAGATAATAGTTGAAGAAGAGTCATGGATATATATATATATATATATATATATATATATTCTATTAATTATTTATATGATTAGGTAGAAGTAAGTAAAAGTAGATTAATTTCATAATATCTTTTAAAGAAGCTTTTTAGAAGCTTTATATATGTGATTTTGACTTTATACATATTTATAGTTGATTGGTAGGTTACAAATCTAATCAATAAGTTAATCACATATCACATGTCTTCGTAGCTTGTCGAACAAGCTAAATATGTGACATACATATGGAAAATTTTTGTTGCAAATTAAAAAAATATATTTTATAAAGTCAACACATGTTAGAGGTCCTATAAAACATCACCTTATAGCTTCTAATTAGATAGTATAAATGGA